TGCACCCCAGAGTTATAGTTATTCAGCAAGTGTGCCCTGAAGTGAAAAATGTTGAAAAACACTGATCTAGAGATGAAACACATTACATAAGATTTTTCCACTTTGTCATTCAGTTGCCTAACCTTGTTCTGAGAGATAGAAATGTATGTCCTATTCTCCCACTTGTAAAACTCATACAATTAACTGTGTTACATTCCTCCTGCATCCATTTGTAATTTATGCATTTAAATTGCTATGGTTGTAATGTTAAATTAAGACCATAGCAATTCCCCTTCCAATCGATCACCAGGTACAGATTCATTTATAAAATCTACAGTAGTAACTCTGTTTTAATAATAGTTGTAGGACAAGAATGCATCACTATATGATATTTACTTCTTAAAATTACAAAAAAAAATTTTTTTTTTTTTTTTTTTTTGTTTCTTTCTTTTACTTGTAAACATTTCATTGTTTCACTTACATTTCACTTACCACATGTCCCCTGTTTGATCAACTGGCTGGTTGTCCAGGTCATATAAACTCTGTGTGTGCTTTTGTCTGTCCTGAAGCTTAAGATGCCGTTGGGGGCATGAAAACAATTTACTATACAAGAAATCTAAACATATCTAATCAAATGTTAAAATCGTTCCTGTTTCAGGCTTGGATATTTTAGCAAGACAAGCTAAATTGAACATATGGATATGTTTTCTCATCTTCCCAGAAAATTGCCATAAATTGTTGGAATAAATACATTATAAAAATATGATTAAATTTCCTTACATAAATATTGTTTTTGCTCGTACAGCTTCCATAACTTGATCAGCAACGTAAAACAATATGTAATGCTTGGATGTAAATTGTTTGCATTGATCTTGCTTGTCTGAATCAGTTGTCAATTAAATTTTTATTCAATGAATTTGAATTATTTCACCTTTGTTGTCTTGATCATAACATTTTCAAAATTGCTTTCTCTAGCTTCTCTATAAACAAAAAATAATGAAAGTGTCATGTAACATTTTTATTTGTGAATTTGTTCAAAGTGAAGTTGTAAAAATTAATGAGAAATTCTGAACAAAATAAAGAATTCTGTCCAAAACTTCTTAAAAGATCATTGATTATAGCATATGCCTGAGGTAATAAATAAAATTGTACACTATTTCACAAAATGGTGATTGAAAAGAAAAAAAAGAAAACAGAAAATGAGGATATTATTTTGATAATGACAACAGATGAATTTTTGATTCTTTTGTTCATTAACAATAATTATAATGGAAGAAAAAACAATAAGAAAGTTATTGTATATAACTTTAATATTAACATTCTAAATATTCAATTGTTTAGACCATTTTTTGAAAATACCAGCAGATAAGGGGTCATTAATATACCTACAGGAACATACTGTTACAGTAGTTCTAGGTAGATAAGCACTTGGTATATTAGTGATCTCTTTTTGCTGCTGCTATTTGGAATTTTTCCTTTGGAAAAAAAAAAAAAGAAAAAAAAAAGATTTGCTTTTTTTAGCACTGGATTATACCAGATGAAAGCAGAAAAGTGGGTCAGGTGAAATGTGTCAACAACATTAATGATATGAATAATGTCTAAAATTGTTTAAATTTTATTTGAAATAAAAAAAGTTAATAAGAAAATACTTCATCTAAGAAATTCAGTTAACATATTTTATTTCTATTTTTTATTTGGATGCTAGTACCTTTGAAATATTTTTGGAATAAAAATTTATTATTTATTAAATAAATATAATTATTATTTATTAAATAATTGAAATTATTTATTATTACTTTAGGGAGATGATATATTGCACAAGTTTTTAAAAATATTTTAGGATCTTGGAAAAACTTAAAAAATCTTTATCAATTAAGATTTGCTAAAATGAACAAATTAGATTCAAATTATGGGAAGTAGATTATTAGAACATATTTTATTGATCAATTTCAGACAAAATAAAAACATCCCTATTAAGTAGATACCAATGTAAAATTTTTAAATAGCTTATAATTTATGGAGAAAGATAAAATTTACACAGCATTTAGAACATCATTAATCTTCCAAGTTACAGATTTTTAAGCATGTCTAGTTCTTAGAAATTTTATACTATTCAAAGAATACATATTCAAATAAAGCTGGGCATTTTTCTCTTAAATATTCTTCATTATGTCTGGATGCCATCTATAAACCAAAGTAGAATGTATCAAATAGTCAGTCCATGTGATAGTCTGAGTCAATTAGACATTTTTCAGAGTCATTAAGACATTTTTCTCTGTTTGGTCTTGGATGTGTGGTCGGTGTAATGGTTAACTGCTCTGAATTGTTAATTGGAGAGCAGAGTTCCAATTTCAGTTGGGTTTGTTATATTCACTTATATGTAAATACCCTTGGAAAAGGTATGATGCCACTTCAGATATGGGTTAATTAGTAAGACTTGTATCACTAAAACCATTATCATCTCCAGAAGAAATAAAAATGTATACAAAATATTTTGCATTAAAATAACCCACAGAGGTGTTAATATGTGGCTAATCAAAAACAACCAAACTAAAAAAAAGATTCTGTTAAACTCCTCAATTTCTGGAATATAAAAATTTTCAATTTACACTTTATCTGCTTTCTTCTTTTCCTTTTCTTTTTTTTTTTTTTTTTTTTTTGTTAGATTGTTTTTTTATCATTTGAACCTTTTCACATCTGAAAATTGATTTACTGTTTGAAATTTTATATTTTGAATGTGTTGCACAAAGAGTTTCAGATATTGTGTTGCAGTTTTATACTTTTATATATTACCAGACATTCAACTCATTTGGATTTGGCATTTAATATTAACTTTCATAATGTACAGTTTTATTTTTTTTTTACAATCGTTGAGATTGCTTCCATATTTTTCAAATTTGTCAACTTATATAATTTTACTTGTTATAAAGTGTTTTCTTTTACTTTTTTGTTTTAAATATTTGTCCTGAATGAACTTTGTTCTTCATTAATGAAAATTGAAATGGAAAGAATTAGATCTGTTTGTTGTGTCAATTTTTCTCTCGTACAATTTAGTCTCTTTAGCATTTTCTAACATACAGAAAATTTTTTAAAAAGCAAACCATATTCTCCAAAAAGATTATGCCTTCTATAAACTGAAGGTTAGTGACAGGAAACCTCAAGGTTAAAGTGTGTGCATGTGTGTAAGGAGGAATTTCCTTAAATTGATAAAGGTTAATCATTAAATTTGTTGTAGAGCAAAGATTTTCTTGTAAAGATAAATTTCTATGAAATTTTAAAATTAGATTTGTAAATACTATTTTGGTATTTTTATGTATAAATGGTTTCAGATGACATTATTGGTGAGGATAGAGTAACCTGAATTTAAAACCAATTAATTTTAAGTTTCTCATACTTTTTAATCCACTTGGAAGACAAAAATCTCTTCTTTCAATAATAGTTTGTTGTGAGAGTTACTTGAACTTTCAGTCAATACAGTACATACTGATTGAGGAAAGACCAAAGTTGAAATTTGTATGGTTTTATTGTGCTAGAAGCATCAGGTAAATGTATGCAGTTAGGTGATTTGGGTTTTAGCCCACATATCTTCATTCTATTCTAAAGCTATTTGTTTTCATGCATTTAGAGTTGGTGCATTCATGAGTGAATATTTGACTTGATTTGCCACAAATATTGGTTTTATGACTACTCCAAATTCATTGCACTTTTACTTGATTTGGGTGTGGACAACCAACACAATGTATTTCTTTGGAAGTAGGTGCTTGTCTATGTGACTAGTTTTTGATTTTGAGGATTTATCAATAAATAGTTACCAACCAATAAAATGATGAAAATAAATTTCTATGATCCAGTTTCTTTTTGATCACCTTACATTATTTATTAATTATACAATTGCATCCATTTGTCTATTCACTTTAGTGTCTTTAATAATAATTACTTCTATTGTATTTGTCATTGTCAAAGATAAAATTGTGATAACTGTACATTTTTTTACTGGTACATTTTCTAATCTCGAGAGTGTATTTAAAAGTAAACTTTAAACCTTCAAAATAAAATAGTAAAAGTAAAAAGGTTTTTGTTTTAAATTTCTCTTAAGTTTGTTTCTAGAATTCAAATGATAGTCTTTAAAATTTTGGTTACATTTTTCTTTCACAAAAATCTCATTTATTGATTTAACGCAATTCATATCTGCAGACACTTTATAATTTGAACAATTTTGCTGTTTTTTGTTCTTTGTTTCTACAATATATTTTTTCATTTATTTGAAAGTTTCTAATTCTACAAAAAAAGTTCTCTAATAATTTGAATAATAAATTATTCTTTGTATTTTTAATCAACTTCTAAACTGTACACTTCCTCATGCTTCCCTCAATATGAGAACACTTCCTTTGCTTCCCATCATATGATAACACTTCCTTTGCTTCCCAAACATATGATGACACTTTCCTTGGGCTTCTCTCCATATGATGACACTTTCCTTGGGCTTCTTTCCATACAGTGATACTTTCTTGGGTTTTCTTTTAATCTTTTTCTGATATATCTAAGAGTGTGTTGGTGGCATCATAATTGATTCCCAACCCCCAAATGATTTCCAGTTGAAAATGTTTCCTTTTTGTGTCACTTACAAAAATCCCAAATCTAACACATTCCACATTGTTTTATCTTGATACTGGTCTTGTCACTGGGATTCCATGTTTATAGATAAAGAAGAGAATTAGTGGGGGATGTATGTAAATATCCCTGTGTTTTTCTCAAATGTCTATTCAAATACATGTTATTCCCACTAAATTACAATTAGAATTAATGTCAGATTAAAAAATTCATTAATTGGTTATAATGTTTATTCCATATGAGAAGATGGTGGTTAAATGCTTTAAACATTGTGCAAAGTAAATACTTTCTTTCATCATAAACATATAGAAATGTATGTATAGTCTCAGGCAGTGACTGTAAAATAACTGCTATATCCATTGTCAGCCTTGACAGATTAAAGTCATTTGTATAATTTTCTTTTTGTTTAGTCACGTGTTGTGCATCAACAGAGGGGTGAACGAAATTTTCACACATTTTACCAGGTAAGTCTTTTTTTTTCTGTTTATATTATTTGCTGTCTTAATTGACAAGTAATTCATTAAAGAGAACATTATTGTAGTTAACCTTCTTTCTGTAATTTATTTTAATTTATGCAAGGGCCGTTTTTCTAATTAGATGTAGCTATTAATTTTATAGAGACAGGCAACAACAATGGAATCAAATTTATTTGATGAATTTCATTTTAAGTTCCTTCTATGGTCTACTTCAGCTCTATTCTCTTAATACTTGTCCTTTTTTATGATAATATAACTCCACACAGTAACTCTCTACCTTGAGTGGCTCTTAGGCCTTGTATTGAGTGAATATTGCTTAAAAAAAAGAGAAGTTATGCTTGTTTTTGTAATAGAAGTGATAGTGACTTACCAGGAGCAAAGCAAATTCGCTGCCTCGTGTGTCGAACCATTCTCTGAGAGTCGGTCATGCGTGCGCCTACTGCCATTTTTATGCAGCAGACTTATTTGCATAAGAGAACCACGCTACCGATTAAAAACCCGGAATTGGTGTGCGACCTATCGGGAGTGAAACAGCTTGATTGTGTCATCCCCCTTCGCTTAACCAGGGGTGCATTCGCGGTTTACCAGCAACTATCTATGGAAGAGAAATCGGACGTGGCTCGAATCAAGGGAGCATTGATGACAGCATTTGCCCCTGATAAATTCACGGCATACGAACAATTCAAGGCACGTGTATTGCGTCCGGGTGAGACCGTAGATGTATATTTGGCTGATCTACGGAAGCTCTCCATCCTTTTTGGAGGAGTGCCAGACAGTGCGATGGCATGCGTGTTTGTGCGGGGGCTTCCTGATCCTGTGAAAAGGCTCCTGCGGTCCTCGGCCAGGGCGGATGATACGTCTCTCGAGGAGCTATTGGCCCGAGCTTGGGTAATCATAAAGGACGAGACAGCAGAGAGGGAACCAGTCGTCGCTGTGGTGCAGCCCTCCCAGACTCCCCGATCTTCCCCAGACATGGGCCCACTTGTCACATGCTATGAATGTAATGGGCCCAATCACTTCACGAGGGACTGCGTGAAAAGGCGAAGGGCAACTAACGCGCGTTGCTATCGATGCAACAAGACCGGTCATCTGGCCAAAAATTGTCCGGGAAACGGAGGCGGGGACAAGACTTCAGCGCCGGTCCACTCCCCAAACAGCAAGTAAACTCGGTGCTACCCATCATTACTGTGTGTGTTGATGGCTCTCCTTGACTCTGAGTGCTCACGGTCAATCTTGAGCGCGAGTTTATGTCGGTCTTGATCGAAGCAGGGTATGGCGGTATCTACATTAACCGGAGCCACGCAGGCTTGCTGTGGAAGGAGCACCGTCAGAATTTGCACAGCAACTGGTAATACTGCTACAATCGATGTGCTGGTTATGTGAGGGAAGCCCCTGGATTTCGACCTGTTGCTTGGCATCGACGCCATTAAGGCACTCGGTGGAGTTCGCATCACGCAGCATGGAAGCGTGGAGTTTGAAAAACCACGGTCCGTCTGTGCAGCGATTCGTATCAGCGAAGCCGATTTCAGTGCGAAATTCAATGAACGGCAGGGAGTTTGGGTCGCAGCCTGGAAGTGGTCGGCAAGTCATGCACCAGGGAAACTTCAGAATCGGATCTCTGAATATCCAGTATCCAGCGAGATGAGAAAGGAGTACGAGCATGAATTACAAACATGGATGGACAATGGTTGGTTGGTTGGTTGGTGCCGTACAGTAACAAGGAGTTTGGCCCGCCCAAGGGACTGATACCACTGATGGCCGTGCTGCAGACCAACAAGCATAAGGTGCGTCCTGTGATGGATTATAGGGAACTAAATACCTACGTTGAAACATTCACAGGTGCAGCGGATGTTTGTGCAGAAAAATTGCGAGACTGGAGACAGCAGGGTGCGAACGTGTCCATTCTGGACCTCAGGAAAGCATATCTACAGATCCGTGTTGAAAAATCCCTGTGGCCATATCAAACAGTTATGTTTAAAGGGGAGCAATATTGTTTGACCAGGCTGGTGTTCGGCCTGAATGTAGCGCTCCTGATAATGCAAGCTGTGCTCAAGGCTGTGTTAGCACAGAATGAAACCATAAATAGAGCAACGTCAGTATATATTGATGATATATATATCAACGAGGATGTGGCGTCGGCGGAATCGGTGAGGAAACATCTCAAGCTCTACGGACTGACGAGCAAGGATCCAGAGAAGTTACAGAACAGAGCCAGAGTGCTGGGGCTAGAAGTATGGAAGGAACAGGGTCGACTGCAATGGCGACGAGGAAGTAGAATGGTAAACGGCCCTATGACTATGACACGGAGAGGTATTTTCTCCATGTGTGGTCAGCTGGTGGGACACTTCCCCGTGTGTGGATGGCTACGAGTGGCGACAGGTGTCATCAAACGTCGAGCCACTGCCGTAACGCAAAACCGGGCCGAAAAAATTTGTGATGCTCCCCTGGACCGTATGATAACGGACACCCTCGCCCGGGCTCAGCAACTGGATCCTGCACAGGGAGAATGGTGCATGAATACGAAGGAGCTAGACGTGTGGGTGGACGTGAGTTCGCTGGCTGTAGGAGTAGCACTCGAGGCTAAGGGAGCCATCATTGAGGACGCATGCTGGCTACGGCCGATAAAAAACACCCAGCATATCAATGTGGCTGAACTGGATGCCATGCTGAAGGGAATCAACCTCGCGCTAAAATGGCAGGCTACGGTATTACATGTGAACACAGACTCCCTCTGCGTGTACCATTGGGTAACTAATGCCCTTACGGGAAAGTCTCGGCTGAACACCAAGGCCGCTAGTGAGATGCTCATAAGGCGATGACTTGAAACTCTAACTTCTCTTGTGAAAGAGTATAAACTTTCCGTTGACATAGTGCTAGTTAGATCCGACCAGAACCGAGCTGACTTGCTGACTAGAGTTCCCCAGAGGTGGTTCAACAATGTGAAGGAACTCGAACCTGTTCAACCAGTATGTGCTTCTGCCGTAGGAAACCCGAGCCTTGCTCAGTTAACTGAGATTCATCGACACAGCGGGCACCCTGGAGTTAAACGGACACTATATTTCACACGTAGGATCAACCCGTCCGTGTCGAAAGCAGCAGTAAGATCGGTCGTTGTGAACAGTGTCAGTCAATAAATCCAGCTTCTGTGCGATGGCAGAAGGGAGAGCTCAGTGTGCGTGAAACTTGGAGTCGTCTGGGAATGGACATCACACACTATAACGGTCGCCATTTTTTGACTCTGATTGATTGCGGCCCCACACGGTTTTCAATCTGGCGGCCACTAGTTCGGCAAGACACTGCACACGTAATCCGGCAATTGGAGTCGGTGTTTTTCGAACGTGGTGCCCCGGTGGAAATCCTGGCTGATAATGACACTGCATTCCGCAGTCGGCAATTCAAACAATTCACGGAAGAATGGGGCATCCGATTCCGACCGCGCTGCACGTACAAACCATCTGGAAATGGTATTGTAGAGAGGTGTCATCGGACAATCAAACGGATTGCTGCGTGAAAGAGCTGCTCTATTGTGGAGGCCGTGTATTGGTATAACATCACACCCAGGGATGATGTGTCTGCCTCTTCTGCGCCCGCCAATCTGCTGCATTTGTAAAAAATTCGAATAAAAGGAATTGACATTGTGCCCTCGCCTAACCGGGCGACTTCGATTCGGTATAAAGAAGGAGACGCAGTTTGGGTAAAAAATCCGCACGGCCGCTGCACGTCAAAGTTTGTGAAAGGTTGTGTCATGGGAATAAACAGTCCGCAGTCCGCAGTCATTGACGGGATACTGTGACACGTGGGAGATGTACGTCCACGGCTCACTTCATTGTTACCAATGGATGATGGCGGTGACACAACGTCAGGGAGTCATGAATGGCAAGAATGAAGCTCCAGTGCAAGCAGCAGCGACACCTCATCTGAAAGTGAGACAGAAGTAGACTTGATCCTTAATGATCCCCCGGAATATGATTCAGACCAGGACACATCTGACGATTCAGCCGGGAGGAAGTCATGGTTATACCACTGTGAAGGAGTGCAAGGGTGAAACGACCAGCCCCTCACTGTCACTTATGTGATCATACGATCAGGGGGGAGTATAATAGAAGTGACAGTGACTTACCAGGAGCAAAGTGAATTCGCTGCCTCGCGTGTCGAACCATTCTCTGAGAGTCGGTTGTGTGTGTGCCTACTGCCATTTTTATGCAGCAGACTTATTTGCATAAGAGAACCACGCTACCGATTAAAAAAAAAAAAAAAACCCGGCGAGTGGACGTGGGAGGCCACTGCTCTTCTAGGCTTTGGCGAGACTAGACGTATTGCAGACAGAAAGCGACAGCAATTTCTGGACATCTGACAGTTTCAATTGAAATTTTGCTACAAAATTGCTACCCCATCCTTATGCTAAAAAAACTGTAGTGAGTCCCAATAAAAATAAATATAAAATGTAAAAATATATAAACAAAAAATAAAAAGAATTCAGATTAAGATAAGTCATTTGTCCTTTCCTTTAACACCCCATTCTCTCTCTCTCTCTCTCTCTCTCTATATATATATATATATATATATATATATATATATATATATATATATATATACTTCCTTCAACTAACAAGAAGGCAATCCTCAAATAAAAAGAGGGAGAAGAAAAGACTGAACCTGACAGAAAAATGCCAGAAGTTTGCAGGATCAGAGCCTATTAATTTGTGACTAAAAATTACTAAAAATCAGGGAGGCTCCATGCATAACATCCATTATAAAAAAAAATGAAAAGAATAGAATGCTGGAAAATAAAATAGTTTTGGCTAGTCAAAAACATTAACACAGACTTTTAATGCTAGGTGAAACCAAGGTTCACACCAGAGTCTCAGTCAGTTTGTTTTGTGTCCTATGTTTCTGACGCTCATCACCAAGAACCCTTTAACACCACACGAATCCAGAGAACCAATGTAAATGAGGGAAACAATGATTTCAAGGCTGAAAATTACTTCAAGTATGCAGCATGATTCTTAAGATTTGCTGGATCAGAAACATTAACATCATTTTTCTTTCCTTTTTAATCTGGTTTTAACTTAATCTTCAGACATCATCAATTATTCCATCCAATTGTGTATTCTGAACAGAGCCTTTCATTCACAAGGTGCAACTTTGGCATTATTGTGTTCATATCGGAATGTTGTCAGTGTGGATAGGATGTAGGATAATTATTTTATCGAAAACTTTGGAAATAAACTGACTCAAGGGTTAAAAGAAATAATATATTTTCTTTAGAGTGATGAGTGAGTCCTTTGGTATTTGGCTGTGGCAAAAAAGTTTAAATTAATAGGCAAATATTTTTTAATTTTTGTTTTTATATTTTATATTTTATTTTTATCAGGATTCACTACACAACAAAAGTAATGCCCTTTTTTATTTATTAACTAGCAGCATGGCCCGGCGTTGCCCATGCTTGATTAAAAAATCATACGACTCATACAACAATCGCTATCACTTGACTTAAAATATTTTTGCCATACTTCTTGCCTATCTCACACTGTGAATTTTTTCTAAGCTCTATACTAAACATTAAATCTGTTACGAAAAATAACTAAAGAAAATGAACACAAAACGATCAGCTTTAAAAAAGGACTCATAACTGGAAAAACCAAATGAAAAAAGAATGTTAACAACAAATACTTTTTCACACCCAACCCAGTTCTGCGGAATCAGAATCAACGTTGATTTTAAGCAAGCAAATGAGCCAATTGGAGTAAAGTGCCATGCAGATTTAAATTTTTCCCACTTGTGACGAATGCAACTATCAATTTTTTTTTTTTGCATGCTAGTTAACATTCGTGTCAGTCAGCTGTTGGCTTTCACGCTGGCAAATAGAATCTTACAGCTTATTCGTGGCAGCCAGCTATAGGCTCTCACTCTGGCCAGTACAACTGCTGTAGAAGCATACAAAAATCGATTATTTCCGCTATCGATGGGAGTTGAGAAATGCAAAGTTGGTCTTGGCCTTCCCGCTAACTTGGAGCATGTGCATGTAAATTTTGGTGCAAATCCGTCAAAAATTGCGTTCGTGCATTCGTTACACACACACACACACACACACACACACACACACACACACACACACACACACACACACACACATCCTGCCTTTTATAGATAGAGATTTTTATTGAACAAAAATAAATTACAGTAGTTTAAGAAAATTTATAAGTATTGTCGCATCAAAAGAACATGATTTATGATTAAATGTTTAACATGTTTCCCTTCATGTTTGATACAATGCTGAACCCTATAGGCAACACTTCTACAAATGATTTGACACATTTCTACATTTAGAAAATTTGCTTCTTTTAATTCAGGAGTTGTTTTTGGTTTGAGCCTGTAAATAAGATCTTTGAGTCCCCACCCCACAATAACATGTCTGGTGATCATGATAGCCACTCAGTTGCTCCACATCATCCTATCCACCTCAGCTTGAAAAATAAAAAGAGTGTTATTTTTTGCTGCACCCTGTATATTATTTGAATATTTTTTTGTCCTGTCTGATATTGTTCATAGTATTGAATCCAAAATATGATATTCTTATTGCTGAGTGTATGAAATTATAAGTTTCTGCACTCATTTCTCTTCAAGACATAGTGAATTGAATCTTTAAACAATCATTAAATATTAAATGGTTTTAGATTAGTTTTTGGCATTTTCCAGTAAACTTTTTTATGTCCTATACATTATGACCAAAGTTTTTTATAAACTTGTTCTAATCATTGTTAACATTTCATTGTCAAAGAGCATTAAAAAAATCTGTTACAATGACAACCAGTTATTTAAAAATGCTGTTGTTAATTTGAAAAAATTTAACAGTTAATAAATTTTAATTATCTGTAAACAAATCAATGAGATTTGTACATAGGAAATTTGTTAAAATAAAATGTAAGTAAAGTTAAAATTGAATGAATGAAAGGAAGAAAATTATGGTGATAAAATACTTCAAAGAAAATAATGAATTCTGGGAATTAAAAATATATATGATATTATTTAGGTGTTAAGGAAAGTATAGAATTTACTGTTTAACTATCTATTTTAATATTATTTTACCTAGAAAAGTTGATATGTTATAAAATCATACTTTTTGATTAATCAAACTGAATTTCTGATTCAGTAATTCTTCTATGATTTATGATGAATAAATGAAACCATTTTAGTGTTTTTAAAATCAAAACAGTAGTTTGTATTTTGTGTAGGGATGAATGAAGAATAATATCTTCAATTTTTATAGCTCATGTGTTCATAGATACATTTTTGAAAACTTCATCAATATGAATTTTATCACATTTTCTACATTTAAAACCAAAAGCTCTTTTAGTAGTGACCTTTTACGGAAAAAAAAAGAAAAAAAAAATGCCGTAAGAATTTTAGCTGTTAACAATATAATTTTAAAAAATCTAGACGACAGGCTTTAACGGAAGTTAGATTTCATTGAAAAATGCATCCCTTCCCACGACCCAAACATAGCAATAACTGATACATTAAATTATAGACATATTGAAAACCCAGCCACCCCTGTCTAGAAAAATAGATTTATCTGTAACCTTGGAAACATGAATTTTGTTTTAGCTGTGTATTTAAAACCCAGTAATTTTAAAAAGTTACTCCAAAATTCGCTTGAGGATGAAATGGAACTAATGTCTTTAATTTAATCACAAAATTAAATTTGTGGCTTTTAGCTTCCATTTTTGAAACATGGTTAGAACTGTGTAGCGAAAAAACCATATTTTAAATCAATTAATTTATAATATGCTCTGTAAATTTACATTGAGCACTATTTTGTAAAAATATCTGTAAGAACACCGGATTATATATCTTGCTGTTCTTTCTTTTTATATATATATATATATATAGACACCTAATACAAAGCCCAAGAGCCACTGATGGTAGAGGTTACTAAATGAGGTGTATGATATGAACATAATAGGAGGAAATAGGAAGTGAAGATAGATAATGAATGTAGGTATCAGTATTGACGTTATGAGTGTAGTGTTCAAGGAAGCATCCATGTAGCAGTTTGTTTCTCAAAGTAACATCTATTGCCAATGGAATACATAGGAAATGATGGTGATTCAACTCTGTAGATATAGCAAGGTGAGTTTTGACTGTAAAGGTCAGCTGCTGGCACTTAAGGATGGATCTTGTCTGAACATTTGCCATGAAAGTAGTGATAAACTTCCATGTTTGTAGGAAGAAAATCTGTTGGGTGAAAAATAATCACCTGCCCTCCTACAAAGCTGTGTAAAGGATTTTGAACTCTTGTTAAGATTTGAAAGTGTGAATTGGTCAGTTCCATTTCAAATATGATGACAGCTATACTCCATTTTTGGTCTGATCTGGCTCTTGTAAAGATGAAGAATGGTAGGAGTTAGATTCTTTCTGGAGTGGTACGATGAGCTGACCATTTGTCCAGCATCTTTAGAGATGGATTGCATACCTGAGTTCCACTTGAGGTCTGGGGTAGATAATGGTAAAAAAAAAGACACCTTGCAACTATTCAGATTGACTGGAGAAAATTCATAGTCTGCTTGGTGATAATGACATTTTATTAAATTGGTTTTTGAAAGTGTTGAATGTTAAAAGCCAATCCCCTTCTCCATTTAACTGAACTAGATCAGAAGAACGATCAGCTGCCAGGAGAGGTGAACCTATAAACTATGGTATCATCTGCATAGATATTTACACATAATCTGAGAAAATTCCTAGGCAGATGAATAAGATAAAGCAAAAAGATGGTATGACTGAGGAGATTCCATGCATTGATTCCATGGGATTCAAAAGATTAGCCATTACTAGTGACCTTCATGTGGCCTGTCTGATAGGAAGGACATGATAATTGTTAGACTCATCCAAAGATTTTATAACTGGAGAATTTATGTAGCAAATCAATAGCTGCATCTGCTGCAAAAAAAGTTGGTTCACTGTGTTGTGTCAGAAGGTTTTTCTCGTCAGAGTCCATCTTACATATCTACAAATCTACCATTTGTTTGGGCATTGAGTACTGTTGCCATATCTGGTCTGGTACCCCTGATGTCCATCTCAAGGGACTTGACAAAATCCAAAGAAGGATCAGCAATATAATATATCCTGACTTTCTCCCAGACAGGATGTGGTTTCCTCTGTCTTTTCTACAAATATTTTCATGGGAACTGCTCTGATGAGCTATCTTTCCTGGTTCCCCCATCTACATTAAGCGTGCTAACTAGACTAGCATCAAGATCCCACACTTTTACCATTGAATTAGTTAAATATAATCACCACTTCTACTCCAACAGTTTTTCTCTCACTTCCTGCTTATGGAACTCCCTTCTATTTTCTTGCTTCCCTGATAACTACAATCTTCAAAAATTTAAATGCAGCATCAATTGCCATCTGCTGATGTTTTGAACCCTGTTCATCTTTTATCCTTTCCTCATTCCCCTATACACAATCTTTTCTCTCATTTTCACTCTGTGTAACCCCCTGTGAACCAGTGGCACTCCCTTGTCAAAAGTCTTTGAAAAGTCTAAGGTGTTTGGTCTTGTGATGAATTAATTCCTTCTTAATGTTTGGTAATTGCAATGAAAACTTTTGTATACAGAAACTATTAAAGAAATACAAATAGAATCCTAGATTTAGAGCTGGCATCCAAGACTCAAAGCAATTGTTTATTTTTTATCAGTAGCATTTTTATAAGGTTTTGTTTACATCATAATATTTCAACAGGTGTGGTGTTTATTCTTCCTCATGTTTCTTTTCCCATTTGGTAATTTTCAGGAAGTTTTGAGTTTATGTTGTAATGTCTATTCAATATATTTCTGGAGTGTGTAATAAAATTCTATGAATGGCTTTTGTTTTAATTTTTTAATAAAAAATAAAGGTGCCATAAATACTTATTTCATTTTTCAAATTTTAACTCTTTTTACAGCTTTTGTACGGGGCTACTGATGGCAAACTGGCTGAGATGGGACTAAAAAGAAATCCCAACATGTATCATTTTATTAACCAAGGTGGAGATCCAAAGGTGAAATTTAATTGTATCAATTTTTTAATATTATATTCTGCAATGTTTCTTAACTATTTTTAATGAAGAAAAACAACTTATAACTCAAAAACTTCTTTGGACTGTTGAACTTGTGACTAATGAAGACTGACTTCAGCAAGAAAATAAAAACAAAGATAAATAGTATAATTCAAATGTCATCAGAATCCAAATATGACCAAATAAATCACAGAACTAAGCTTAATTTAGACTAAAGTTGTGTTAACAGTTCAGGGCAAATACATGAAAATCTCAAAAAGGAAGAAAAAATAAACATTTCATCATTTTCTTCATGATCTTCAGTGTTTAAAATTATTTTTTTTCAATAGTTTCAAAACATTTGTGTAATTAGAATGTTTATGCTTGTGTGTGTAGAAAAGATAATGAGTGATGAAAATTCCCCCCCAAAAGACAGCTTATCTTGTTAGAGATGTGTAACCAAAAAGAGAAAAGGAAATAGAGAGAGAAATTTTCTCATTTTTTCTCCTTGTTGGTAGTTTATATACATTACATGCCTGAAGAAGGATGTAGAATGGATTGTTTGAAATGTAACAGCAAAAAGAATAAGTTTGTAGTGATCTTGTGAGCATGAGAAATAAAAAAAAAAAAACAACAACAAAAAAACTAATTTCCCATGATTCCCTAGGAAAAAATAAACTGCCCCTACTGGGGCAAAATTTAAAGTCATTCGCTTTTTCAGTCACTTCTTACAAAGAGAGCATGTGAATCTGAGTGGCTCCAGGAATGAAGGCCACAAATAAGTTTTACGCAAATATTACTTTCTCATGTTTAATATTACATTTTAATGATTGACTTATCACTTGCAAGCAATTTATTCATTCACCAAAGCAAACAAAAGAAAATAGAAACATTTAACAACTACATTACATGATCTTTCATATATCTACCAAATTAGTACAATCAAACCCTTCTGATAATAAATCCTTTTATATATATATATATATATATATATATTGTTGTAATGGAATGTCCCACACTCCCTATCAAATATGGGGACTGAAGTAAGCACACACACACACACACACCATAAAATCCAATATTGTCTCATATGGTGAATAGCCTATTTCAGCAGATGAAGATATCAGTTGTCTGTCTTATCAAACCTGGTATGGACTGAATTTGCATCTATATATACAGTAAACGAGGGGCGGGAAATAGAATTTAACTGTGAAAGCTAAAAAATCAATCAGTCAAAAAACAAATACAGAGTTAATCCATTTCACTGTTTCAGTCAGACAAAATACAAGGGACAGGGGAGGGTGGAAAGTATTTGTCTTAAAAGGAAGAAGTTTTATAAAATTAAACCCAAATATTAAGCTTATGACATTAATTTGGGGTTATATGAAGAATGAAATATTAATTTTAAAATTAAAAGCGGAATAAAAAAGGTGTCTAAAATTAAATTTAACATATATAGATAAAAGGATGTAAGGGATTAATGGAAAGAGAGTTAATGGAAAGATTATATGGCTCTGTATTAATAAATACATTGAGCACTTTTTGTGGATCAGTTTTAGTATTTTATATTACTAGGATCCACTTGGATTATATACCAACGGATTTGTTACTTTTATTTATATTATATATATATATATATATATATATATATATATATATATATATATATATATAAAAGTGTGTGTGTGTATGTCTCACTTTGTTGTTATGATGTATTTATGTATATTTTACTAACTAAAAACAGTCATCAAACAAGGCCCATCATAACAAGTTCAAAAGTTCAAACAATTCTTGGCATGTTTGACTCAAAATCATAAACAGATTTATGGGAGAAATAAATTATAAATTAATAACAATAGCAGACTTATGCAAATAATAGATCATCACCATCATGAGATGAAAATATTGTCTAAATGATGTTTTCTCTAGTATCTTGCAATTTACCCTAATTTTTTTAAAATTAATATCTATTTGTTTTTTTTGTAGGTCAGCTCTATAAATGATCGGAAAGATTATAGAAATGTCATGGAAGCAATGAAGGCAATGGGTTTCAACTTTAAGCATGTTGAGACGCTTTGGAAAATTGTGTCTGCAATTCTACATATGGTAAGATTCAAACATGGCAGGTTAATGTCTAATTTGCCAGGTATGTCTGTCATGTTTAAAATTCAAAATAAAACCTCTTGAAGAAGATAACCTTTAAAAATAAGGTTAGAAAATCTTTTATTATAGAAATACTTTGAGTTACTCCAATTTCCAGACTAAATGAGTTACTCATTAAAATTATTCATCTCCTCAGCCATCTTGTTTTCTTTGGTCTATTGAAGTAAATCTTAATGATTTATCATGTAAATGTTTTCAACACACAAATGGAAGAGAAGTAAGTTAAAAAAAAAAAATGGAAAAGTTGAAAATGTTCTTTGAAATATTTTTCATTATGTTCTTGAATTGTTTAGAGAGAATCTTCATTTTAGTTGTTTTTATTCAGTGTTCTTTGACCTTTGAGTAGCATCAGTTATTTATTTTTAAAGGAATCTTGCCATTTTCTCAGAATTCATAAACATTTTGTGCTGACATGGTAAATTTTAGCAGATGTTTGGATGTATAAACAGCTGTTGAAAATGCAGCAAATACTTTTGGAAGGCAAAAAAAAAAACATATCATCTGAAATAAAATAAAAACAAAAACTCAAGAAATAATGAAAGGTTTATCGAGGATGTCCTGAAAATAATGCATCATATTTATTTCAACGAAAACTTCAACAGATACAAGGAACACACTGATACTGTTGGATAATACAAGTTTTCAGCTGCAAAACAATTTTTCCATGTAGTTACCGCCATTTGATGAATACCTCAAGGCCCCCTTTTTATTAAATGGATTGACAGCTATGCAGTTTCCACTTGAAACACACATTGCTATTACAGAAGTACATTACCTGTCATATTACCATAACTGTGCTTACATCCACTGTTTGGTGTCCATAAATATCAGCAAGTCTTCATGATAACATGGGTGTAATTTTGTCACTTGGATAAATTTAATGTAACTCTTCATTGTAATCAACAGTGTTTTTGGAATTATTACAGACATCAAAAAACTTGTTTGAGTTATTTAGGAATGTCAATCAAAATAAGGAAACATGGAATAAAAAATATTCATTTTAATTTATTTTCTTTGAAAATTTGATTTATAATCATAGACTTAATGTTACAAGGGAACTTACTGCGGGTTTATGATAAATTGCCTCCCTTTATTCAGTTTTGGTATTTCATCAAACTTTGGTTTATTTGGCATGAGAATTATTAATTGACATGAGTGCTTAGAATCTACAAAATATTTACTAAGGACAGATTTTGCTACACTGAGAAAATAATGACAAATGCATTTATTGATGCTTACAAAAATCGAGATAATGATAAAAAAAATATTGATTGATTTAAAGAACATTACTTTTTCATTTCAAGTTTAGTTTTTTCACTTACAAAGCAAATAACTCAGGAATGAATTGATTTATATTTAAATGTAATGTTTCATAACAAATTGAAATAGCAAATTTCTAAATTAAATACATTATAAAGAGATTCTACAAGAAGTTGAAGATTTTACCATATATTTTAAGTTATTTGTAAACTGACTGTAATTGTAAAATAAATTCAAATGAATTAACATTCAAAAATGAACTCTCATTGTTCCATATTAGTGGGATTTCTTTCATTTGTAGGGAAACATCTCTTTTGAGATGAAAGAAGATCAAGTATGTGTGTCCAGTCGAGAAGAGTTATCGCAAATTGCTCGTTTGCTTTCAATGGATGTGAACAATCTGGAAACTTCTTTATGTTCTCGTGTTGTTGCTGCTGGTGGTGATGTGGTGAGGAAAGAATTCACTTTGTCAGATGCTATTTACACACGAGATGCTTTCGCAAAGGTAAGACTTTTCAAAGAATTTTTGGTAGAAGAGAATGTCAAATCTCTTATCTCAAATATTTTAAATGGCACAAATGAAAGAACAAGACTATTAAAACTATTAATTTTCTTTTGTGCACCAAACAACTTAGGAAAGATAAGAAGTTCTAAATACAGTTGTGTTGGGCTCAGAAAAATAATTATTAACAACAAATTAATGTGTCACTGGGTTTTTGGTTTTTCTTTTTAGACAATATTTCAGTTTTACAAACTGAAATTCAAGAATTAGACTAATCTCAAATTGTCATAAGTTCAAAATCAGGGTTAGTACCTCAAATTGTGACACTTTCACAAACAACTATATTAAGATAATTGTATATCTCTGTTGTAATATACAGCAAGAGTATATTCAGGCTGGGAGAAACACCTAACTGATTGTTTTTCCAGCAACTATGGGGGAGATGGGAAGAGATGGGAGGTAAAAAAAATAATACAGCCTTGGAAATTACAGCAACTTTAGGAACAAAATGTCCTCCAGGACCAACGTCACAAGACACAGTGTCTTGCCAACTGCTGACTTTTCTGTTTTTTCTGTTGTTTTTATTGGGATAAAGCATCTTATAATGACCTGGATCTTGCAGAGAGGCACATATCTAGACATGCAAAGCTGTCCTACTGCTAACAGAGGAAAACCCAGATGTAAAAGGTGTTGACAAACATATCTGCATGTGATCCAATGCCTCTTTTTCATCAGTACCAATATGCGTTCACCACACTTTCCACTGATCTCTTGACCACAGATACAACAGCTTGGAGCATGACTCTTCTACAGAATGCTTCCTCAAAGGGAGGCTGGTTCGTGTTCCTCCACCTCATCACCATGTGATTCTTCTGTGGGATCATCTGGCCTATCCATGTTCACAAGGGTTTCCTCCTTACTTTTGGACATAGCATCTTCACTAGTTGTTGAAGATTGTGCCTGACATGGTGTGGAATTCTGCTCACCAAGATTGTGGACTAACAAGTCCACTAATTTGTCCCTTTCTGAAAGTTGTTCTACATCAGTTGTGAGGGGCCTTTTCCCACACAGGCTTTCCCAAATTGTACACTTTTTGGCCCACTTTAAACATCATTGGCGGCACTGAATCCTAAGCCAAACTTTGTATCTGTAGACTTGATTTGTGAGCGCAGTCAGTGGTAAGGTGTCATCTTTGGTGGGTTACATTATACTAGTAGGTGGCCCCTTCAACAGTACATTTAATCTTGGCCACAATACTCTTGACACTTCTTTGACACTGCTCTGTTATTCCATTTTCTGTTGGGACATGCACACATTGGAATTGCAAATGCATGTCCCATCCTTTGACAAAGATCTTGAACTTCCTACTGTGGAATGTGGTGTAATTGTTTGTGAGTAGCTTATGTGGTGGTCCACTCTCACAGATGACTGACTCCAGTTAAAATATGATACTCACTGTGATTTGGTGGTGTAATGACTGCCACACAGAAAAATGTGAGAGGCTGCAATCTGTTAGTGCCAAGTCCATGCTGAGCCAGTGTCAAAGATCCCAAAGGCTAACTTTACCATGGCCTTTGTCGCAGAAAGAGAAACTCTCCTCATAAAATATGTGGTATGCCACACTCCTGGATGGCCACTGTGTTGATGTGCTTTCATTATCTGATTAGGACTCATGGTGTCCGGGGAAGCAGCTCACACTTGATGCACAGGTGCAGCCCCCTTTTTGGTCATATTGAGTCATGTTTAGTGTACACAGGTCATCTTGTCTTCCAAGTTCTGGTTTGATGTGACTAGCACCATGTTGGCAGACAACTTGTATTCTTGGACCAGTTCCTTCATTGTGCTCAACCTTCGTCACACCAACATCTCACTCACTACTTTGGCACATACCCTAGCTTTGCCTGTGAGGGCATCAGAGAGCCAGTGGTACACACACAAGGAATCATTTTTTATGTGCAATCTCTTTGACTTTCTACTGAAGGGCCAAATTGATGCCTTTGATTGCATCATCCAGTTCAGCAACTATGGGGGTAATAGGCAGAGAGTTGGGGAAAAAGACAGGAGGTAACAAAAATAACACAGCCTTGGAAATCACAGCAACTTTAGGAACAAAATGCTCCGGGGCTGACTGAACAAGATGCTGGTTTTCTCATTGCTTTAATTAGCATGAGGCATCTTACAACAATCTGGATCTTGACCAGTTGCAGAGAGGCCTGTATCTAGAGATGCAAAGCTGTCCCACTGCTAATGTGAAAACTCAGATGTAACACAAGTTGATAAACATGTTTGCATGCAATCTGGGGCCTTTTGCATTTGCCACACTCTCAAAATTTGTAGAATCTTTCTGCTTCCTCCCTTTCTTCTATTTCTTCCTTTTTTGTCATCATCAACTTTGTTTTTCTTTGTTTAGTTCCCAGAAAAAAAAAAACATTGTCATTCACCTGTGAAAGCTAAAACCTGTTGTAGGTTGTTTCTTATGTTGTCTGGATGCATTTTAATTTGTTGAATAGTGGTAAATAAGTAAACCTTAGAAAACCAGGTTTTATTTACTAGCTTGCTAGAGAATGTTTGCAGATTCAGAACAGGATAGAGATCAACTTTGGTAATGCTATTTAAGGCTTGATAGTCTTCACAACATCAGTAGCTACTGTCATATTTTGGTACCATGTTAAGTGGGCTGGCCCACTCACTATTTGATAGCAATATTATTCCAGTCTCGTAGTTTCTGAAATTCTGCTTGTACCATACTATTTTTCCTTTGGTAGTTTTCTTGGTTTTTCAAAAACTGGGGGATGACTACTTGTGTCAATACCTGATAACATGTGTTACTTGAATGTCTATGAAACAATGTCTGGATATTTATCAGTTATTTTTTATTTGTTGAAGTGCTTTTATATTGTTAATAATTTTTTTGACACTAGAAATTGCTCTTTGAAGTTTTTTTTTTTTTTATACTTGATTGGGTTGAATATTGTTTTGTTTTTGCTGTCTGTAGCCAGTTTGCAGTGATTTGACAAGACAAATTCGAATAGTGTGTTGGTAATGTTGTCTATCATGAATGTCTACTGGAATGTGCTACTAAGGCTAGGATTTCCTATTTCCATGTCGGCTTCCATTTTATTTTATTTCCATTTGCAGTCCATTGTAATTCTGTTCACATTTGACTAAGGGACTATTGCATTTGTGTCCACTGTTAATTTTAATCTTGCTGCCCCTATTTTTGCATAAATTTCTAGTAATAGCAAACATCATTTTTTTGAAATTTTTATAAAATATCATTGGAAACTAACATTTTGTAAAGATAATTAAACCTATTGAAATTTTTATTCAGAATTACATTTATAAATGTATAAAATATATATAACTGACAAAAAATTCCTCTTTACTTTTTGATAAAGACCATAGTGTACATTTTGACAATAAATACCATATGACACTGAATTGAAGGTGTTTTTCTAGTTCAGTCATAATTTTAAAGTCAAACCGATTTAATGTTTCAGGCTACCTATGATCGTATGTTCACCTGGATTGTTGGTCGAATTAATGAAGCAATTGATGTCTCGGCTAGTGGATTTTCTAGTGTTGGCAAAAATACAGTCATTGGAGTATTGGATATTTATGGCTTTGAGATTTTCGACAATAACAGGTAATTTTCTTTTCATTTGTTTTGTCTGAATCTATTTGTATTTGGTTGTATATCTTTTCCTTCATTTATTATAAAGTTTGAAAAACACCAAAATATATCCTCGACAATTCATAAAATACTTTCTTCTTTATTTATTCTGAACTAATAAACTATTTCATCTTATTTATTTGCATGCTGACCAAAATGAAACTGACAAAATAAAAGTCAACCTAGTTTTTGATTATTTACATTACTTACATGCAAACTATTATCATCATCTTTGTTGTTATCATGACCATTGTGACCCCCACCCTTCATCAGGTGCTTGTTGATCTTGGAAACCTACAGGTGTGATGGTTACACACCTGGCCCAGTGTCGGATCCTTTGGTTACGGCGCCAACGGTGACGTCGCTCCTCCTGGTCGCTCCTCCTGGGTCCAAGCGTGCCGCTCCAACCCTTTGGTCAGATGATCACCAGCCTCGCCTTTCCCGACTCGCTTCCAATACCTGGTCACTAAAGCAACTATACCGATCTCGGTCTGTCTACCCACGCTGTGTTTAGATCTTAGACAGACGGGACCAGCAGGGATTTGGGGCCGATACAAGTCGAGTCCGACGGGGTGGCAAAACACAAATAAAAAACAAAAACTCACGACACTAAACAAAATTGCTGATAAAAAGGGTAACAACCTTTTATATCTTAATGTCCGTTACATAAAAAAACAAAATTGTTCTCAATTCCCGACCCGCTCTGTGGACTATGGCACCAAGCTTCTATCACACAATAGAAAAAATGTCGAATTACCTACTTTCTAGAATCATGTATGTATGTCGGAGTGTGGTTCAGTTCGACACTGGGGCTAATTTCTATCGATCATTCGCAGTTGATTCTTCTCTCCGACTTGAGTTGTATTTCTTCTTCTTCGTCTGCTTGGGCTGGTAGTTTTCCTGTTTCAACTTGGTGGAAGATTTCTTGTTTCAACTTAGCCGCAACTCTCTGTCGCCTGAGGTGGTCTCTTCTCACTGCCGTCTTGGGCTGAACTGATTTTTGTCGATTGGGGCCCTGCTTTTATTGACGTGATCAACAAACTGGGTGGGTCTGTCGGCGTCAGGGTTTTTCGATAATTCAAAAGCTGCATTAATTCTGTCTTCTCCATTATCGCTATTGTTTTCACCCCTACTTCCTCATAGTACCTTTGGTGGGGCGGCGCACATCCATCTCTCTTAGTCTCTCGTATGTCAGGTGACCGCTTTAACCAATGGTTCCTGATCGGGCATTTCTTTCCTTCTCTTCCGCAGATCACGTGGGACCGTCTTCGACCAATCGTTCCTGATCGAGCATTTCTTTTCCTTCTCTTCCGAGATCACGTGACCGTCTCCGACCAATTGTTATTGATCGAACATCCTTTCTCCTCTTGTTGCGGGCGTGGTTACATCGTTCTTGTTTTAAAAAAAAAACAAAATCCAATTTTGCCTTTTTTTTTGCACGTACGAAAAAATGACAATCTTGGCTTTCTCTCACCTGGACTTTGTCAAACAGCCCGCCGCTAATTAGACTTGACTTCAGAAAGGATCTTTTCCGCCTTCTTGCGCCCTCTGTGAGCCAAAAGCAATTGTCCCTCTTTTTACCTTTTTGTTTTTCCTGATAGTCGAAAAATCTTAATTATCTACTTTGAAAATGTCTCCACTTTATTAACGTGGGTGTCCAATTCTTAACAGGTCAGGATCTGTATATCGTTCCACCGGTCACTCCCCTCAACCCAAAGACACTTTTTCTCTGATTAAAATTTCATTTCTATTGTTCTAAACCAAATTGATAAGGAGTCTCTCTCCTAAAAAAGTCGGTCAGATGCTTTGACGATATCTGGTCTACATCAGCGCCCGCTTTTGATATCATGTCTTTTTCCTTTCTTTCTTTTTATTATTTCTAATTCTATTCTTCCAATTGTCTTAAAAAAATCGCCAAGACGCTGACCTAAATCTCTTTCTGACTCCTATCTCCACCCTCAATTGGGTCATGCATCATACAACTCTTTTTCTCTTCTTCTTTCTTTTTTTTTTTTCTTTTCTTTCCTTCTTCTTCCCTTAAGATCGTCTAGTACAATCTTAGTGAATTATTTTCAACTCAGTTATTTTCCGTTTTAAAAAAAAAATCAACAACCTGTTTAGTAAACCGAGTAAAAAAAAAATTAAATCATATTTCTATGAATATTTCTAATAATGCAAGGTGCCACAATCCTCCCTTAACCCGATTTGTCATTTACCCGTAAATGACACCTAAACCCAATTACATCATTTAACATGCACCATGCATTTGTCTCATGCAATTCTATTCTACTTTCTAACATGCAAGGGTAATGTTCTTTCCATTTTCTTTTTGTTCTACATGCAATGAAATGTTCTTTTTCATTTTCTTCTGTTCTACATGCAATGAAATGTTCTTTTCATTTTCTTTTTTGTTCTACATGCAATGTAATGTTCTTTTCATTTTTTCTGTTCTACATGCAACGAAATGTTCTTTTTCATTTTCTTCTGTTCTACATGCAATGAAATGTTCTTTTCATTTTCTTTTGTTTTACATGCAAGGTAATGTGTGCGTGTGTTTGTAGGTGCAGATGTGTTCACTAGGGTTTGTTCTTCTTGGTCAATGTTTTTCTCTCTGCCGTGGGGGTTTTTCCCGCCGCATGACGTGGTGGTCTCACGCCAGCCTCCTCCATTGGTCTTTCAGCAATTTCTTCGCCAGTCCTGTCTGAGTAAGGAACACTGCTCGGCATCTCCCTCTCGAGTTGTTGCATGCTCACTAGACTGTCGTTCGCTAATCTTCTCTTACTCTTAATCTTCCATATTATTACACCCCGATGGCTATAACTAGGAATGTACCCATCACTATTGACCAACTTATCGCGATCTGCTCATCGCCTTCCCAAGCCACACCTTCGCTCTACCAACGCACTTAACTTATCCCTTAAGTGATCCATATCGATCTTTTCTATTGGCTTCATTAATACTGGCATCTTATTTAAGGTGACATTAGAGAATCTCTTCACCATCGGCTCCCATAATTCTGTACAATTGACTAAGCCTCTACCAATCATCTCTATGAGTGAATCTTTTTCTTCATACCTTTCTTCCATCTGGTAATAGGGGGCAAGGAGATGGACACCCCAACCGCCCGAACATCCCATGGGTAGCGTCACCAGGGATAACGGTGGCCTTATTCTTAATGTCCTTGTGGACTCTCCCCCACATACCCTAGACAGGCTGATATGTTTCTGTGTGGCTACTGCCCACACCCGTCTGAAACACTGATAGCTTGTGGTAATGCCGAGTTTGTTAATACCTCTACTTGGCAGATTCTTTTGATTCCTTCCCTCTCCCTTCAAACAATTCTAATATGCACAGTCTGCGGTTACCAGTTTTATAGATAGGGCTCAACGAGGTACAAGTCCCCAGGGTATCATCTCTACACCTTCTAGCCTCTTCAGCTGATAGCAACATGAATTTCGTCCTCCCCAATTTAATGCTATGTAGTCTGCTTCCACCTTGTACCTTGCTATCATTCCCAAACCTTGATCTCTTCTGGGGTAGGGAATGGGTAAGTTTATAACCTGGTATATCTCGAATATACTATCACTATCTAGTAACGGGACAGATATCACTACCAATAATCGCCTATTTTCTAACAAGGTCACACATCCAAGGGCGTTATAGTACTTCCACAATTCTTTAGTGGGGTCCACTGGTAGCCTTAAATGGCGGGGTAATTGGTCTGTATGCCAAGTAGTGCTTCCTTTAGGTGACCCGGATTTACTATACTTGGGAGAGGTGTCCTAATGACAGCATGTCTAATTGTGCTCTCACGTGTTCCAGCAAGGTCGTCAACGACTGACTAGTTTGTCGTGCTTTATTCGTAATCGTCATTAGCTGGAAATATTTTTGCATGAATCCGCTTTTATTTCCTGTAATTCAACCATTACAGTTTCTGTATCATTAATTACCTCTTGTCTCAATTTCGCCAGGTTGTCTATTAACCAATTGATTCTGGCTCTATTTTTGGATACTTCTAACCTTGTCACATTTAATATCGTCACACTTCTCTCTTGCCACCTGGGCAAGCGTCCTCTGGTTTACTTCCACTTGTCCCAGTTTCCTTCTTATGAATTTAACGTCATCTTCAGTTACTGTTCCAAACAAGACACTCAATGCCTTTCCCATTAATCGAAGTCGGATCTCCGTTCCGTGTCTGCAGTAACTCTATTCCCTGCAGGTAGTTTTGCATGTCTTTCCATTGAGCCTCTATCATAGTGGCTTCTGATTCTAGGGAGTGCAATAAACTAAGATACCCTTTGTGCTTGGGATAATCTTGTCCTACTTTCAATCGGGCTGCATCCAGCTGCGTCAGCTCGTTTCCTAACTTATCTAATAGCGACTCATACGGGTTCAAATCTATCACGAATGTGACCAACCACTTAGACCTGGTTATTATTACTTGGCTCGTTTTTTTAAAAATGGTGTTTATTTGCGTTTCCCGGCTTCCGCCATCGTCACCACCAGCGTGGCTATCACCATCATCGTCATCACCAACCCTTTCATCTTGATCATTCCTGAAAGGTAACAAATTCTCTTGTTGTTATTCTTCACAATCACTTAGTCTCGCTCGACTCATCACTCAATCATTTCATAACTTTTTTTTTTTTTTTTTTTTTTTTTTAGTTCGGCTCTTCCCTCCCCTAACTAACCTCTAGCAGACAGAATGGTCCGGTCAGGTGTGCGTGGCGCCCACTCTAAAGGTCGTACTTCATGACACCACTGGTGGCCAATCAATAATGCCAATGATCTTCCGTTCCTCGTGAGGTGCAGCCCGCATCTCCATCCCCTCCACTCACATCTACCATAGTCAGCCAATAGGATCTTGGATGAGCCAGTGTCGTTATCTGTTGACACTAAATGCTCCTATTCTGCACAGCCCTTTTGTTCTACTGAGATTTGGGGTTCTTCTCCTCCCTGATCTCATCTTCCGA